GAGAGAGAGAGAGAGAGAGAGAGAGAGAGAGAGAGAGAGAGAGAGAGAGAGAGAGAGAGAGAGAGAGAGAGATCCCCTTTTCCCAAGTTCTTTTGTTTTGTTTGTTTGTTTGTTTGTTTGTTTTTCGTCCGCTGTTTTCCTTTTTTCTCTTTTTTTTTTTTTTTTGTTTCTTCAAAAGCTAAGTCCGGGCAGTGCCCTACCGGTAGCGCCAGCCTCGTCACGACTTGGCATAGCGGTAGGCCGAGGCTCGGACTTGTTAGCTGAGACAAGTACTGGTGGTTTAAGTAGATCGTGATAGGAAAGTCCCTGGTAGATAACAGTTATGGGTTGAAGAGTCTAGTTTTAGGAGGCACCACAACTTCAGCCAGGATCACCAGAGCCGTTAGGCCCAGTGTCGGTCGATTCACGCAAGCAGCCAACCCAAGAAAGTCTGTGAGCTTCCATAAGCAGGGAACAAAAGCAAGAGGGCCAACCCATAACGAACAGAAGATGTCTGGAAGGCGGATCAGCAAATATAAAAGCTCAGCAGCACCAGCCAACGGGATCAACTATTCATGTGCAAATTGCGGAAGCACTGCGGGTTGCTTGTGCGACAGTGTGACGTGGACGGGAGGGGGCGATAGCAGAGGAGCAAGTGCCCAGTGAGGAAGAAGACGTCTGGTTACCGTAGCTAGAGAAGGATGAAGAAGAGGGTCATAGCCGCAGAGGTTTGGAGGAGTACATCGCAGCTGTATTCAGGGTGGATCCATGAGGGAGTGGGACAGCATGAGTGTGACAGGAAGGTTTAGCGATACAAGACATAAGAGAGAGAGGGAGAGGGAGAGCAGTTACATACCTGATTCGTACTTGGTTGGTGTGAGGCAGATGCCGCTGGAGGATACAAACAATTTCTTTGTGTGATACAATAATTCGGTGTGGATTTCAGTGAGCGGCTTTGGTTTTCATCTCTCGGTGTCCAGTGTGACTTCTCACATGAATGTTCTACTGCGCGTGGTGTGTGATTACATGCTGATTGGGAGTTGAATCATTGCAATACCAACCAGGGGATCAAGCTGACTACCTCAGCTGGTTGGCACCAAGCTTACCGCAGGTGACAAATATGATTGTAAAGCCGGAAAAAAAAGCATGTCTACCTATGAGCAATCTACATTTTTGATGATGCATGCTCAATACACTTACAAGTCAAAAGACAAAAGGACTTCAGACTCCCACATATCATGAACTCAAACTGGGATGACTGAAAAAGGAAGAAAAAAAGGAATGCATCTGAACTTGTGCTCACCTCGGGCGAGGTCCCACTGACAAACAGGATTGGATTTAGGGGCTTAACCTGGACGTGTTTGTGGAGAGGGGCAGAAAATCGCCATTTATATGCTTTTCTGCATCTCTACATAAAACACATCCAGATTCAGGCACATAATCCAGTCCTTGCTAGCGGGACTCCCTCCTGGAGCCTTACACTTTAACGCTTGGGAAAGCTGGAGGGAGAAGCAACTGGTGAAGGGTGAGATCACATTCTAGTCGCAAAATAAGGGCCTCACACACCACTCGCCAAATGCAAACATTTTAAATGTGTCTGGTCCTGGATTTTCGTCCTGATACGTTCCAAATGTTGACAGTTTGGCAAGTGGTGCCACGAGCTCCGAATTTGGGAAAAGTGACAGGTTAAACTTCAGAGTTTACATAAGCGAGTTAGACAAACAAACTTCGAAGTTCGAACATATTAGAAGGCGATCCTTCGGGACATTCGCTAAAATTGGAACGATACAGAGAAGAAGATTAGCATGGCCCCTGCACAACGATGACATACATAGATCGA